GAATTTCTTAATGCGCCACAGCAATACAACTGGAATATTGGCGATGAGCCGTTAAATGAATTCGATAGTCAGTTCTTAGCATCAATGGCTTTTCCAACTTTATTTCCAGATGGAAAAGGTGACCTCACCAATAGTGCAGTATTGTCTGACACTTCAAACAACACCACTCAATCTTTTGCAGCAACACTGAAGCATCTAATTAAGTTCTCAGAAAAAATAGATGGAAAATGGGTTTATAGATTTGCATCACATCCTAGATTTGCTTACTGGGCTTATAATATTTTGTATCGAAGAAGGATTCTTGCACAGGGAAATTTTTTTCTAAAGCAGAACCCATCAGAAGCCAACCTTACAATCGATGACTTAAAAGAAATGTTACACTCTCAATCCTATGATTCACTCATGTCAAAACTCATGCATTATGCTAAAAATGTGTCTGGAACTAATGCTTACTGGAATCGTGCAAAAGATGATTTAAAAGCAATCATTACTCAAGTCGGAGCTCCAACAATCTTCTGGACTCTATCTTGTGCTGAGTTCCATTGGCCAGAATTTCATAACCTCTTTAGCGACAATGGTGAAACCTCAGATTCTGAACGCAGAGCAAATGTCATTAACAATCCGAATTTACTTTTGCTGGTTTTTCACTGAACGCACAGAACAATTTGTTAATTACTGGCTGAAAAAAACACTTGGTGCAACATGGTATTGGTTTAGGTATGAATATGCTGTACAACGTGGTTCAATTCATTGTCATGGAGTAGCAAAACTGCAGTCTGATCCAAATTTGTGTGATCTATCTCAAATAGCACTTCAAGGATATCTTGCTGCACAGTCACTTGCCAGAGATCATTTGTCTCATGAAATGTCACTTCAAAAACAGCAGGAAGTTAAAGAGGGATGTGAGGCAGAAAAAGCAATTTGCGACTTTGTTGATTTTCTTATGTCAACTCAAAACCCATGTAATACTGACGATTGGTTCAAACCTCAAGTTCATCCTTGTAAAGCACAGTTTGAGCATATTAAAACAAATCAGTGGGATAAAGATTACGAAGACCTGTTAAATTCAGTACAAAGACATACACAATATTCCACAGCATATTGTCTGCATAAAAAAAGCAATGAAAGTGAACTTTCGTGCAGATTTAATTTCCCAAAAGAATGCCGTGATCAAACACACTTAGGCCCGGTTCAAACGTCGAACTTTTCATGAGCCGAACCTAAAAGCCCCAATTAAGTACATGACGAGATCGACGTTTGAATCAATTAAGTTCAACAGATGTTATTTGGGTCGACCCGAGAATTAAGTTCGACATGGCCAGTCGGTCAGTTCGACTACGGAGCGACTCCGATTCAAACGTCGAATTTTTCATGTACCGAACCTAATGCATAAACTATTATAATACATTTTTTGATCCCACAACCCCCTTCTGTCGCATGAAGCATGCGCATCAGAGGCTATAAAAGCGTTCAAAAAGAGGGTACTTTACCATGGGGAAGATTGTAATAGAGGGCCAAAAAATGACCCTCCAATACTCGAGCCCGCGTTTTTATTGGTCAGTAGGGACTTTACGATCCCACGACGCGACGGCAACGAGAACGTCAAAAAAAACAATAGGTTTAGTAGGCAAAACAACAACTTTGCACGTGCATCGCACGTTTTTGTACATTCCTTTGTCGTTTTTGCACAACTACGACGTGAAATTGCCTAATTTTACTGTTTAGGAAGGACGTAAACGAGCGACGACGAAATATTATTCTCTTTCTAAACTTGAATGTGGTTCTTCGAAATTCAACTCCGGGAGGGTTCGCCTACATTTGACAAAGTAAATGAGTTGGAATAATCGCGAAAAAGACCGAAAGAACGCAAATTCATTTTTGAATTGACGTTTTCGCTGTCGTCGCGTCGTCCGATCGTAAAGTCCCTAATAGGTGACCTTAGATGACGTACTTGCTGGGTTGTTTCTTGGTCGATCGCTTGTCAGTTGTCAACCGTCACGTTGTAGGTGCTGTTGCACCATGCCAAAACGTTCTCCCGCAAAGAGAGATTTTAGAGATAACGGGGAGAGAAAAATAAAAAAGAGCAAAGAAGGTGCTTCTTCATCAACCAGCAAAGTGGAAGAAGATTTGGTAAGATCTTGCTGTTTGTTTTCTGTTATGGCACCCCTTTTCACCTTTTCACGTATCAGGGGTAAGCTCATATGATTTCTAGTTCAACTTTTTAATACTTCCTCAGATTTTCTGGAATGAAAAAAGCGTTTAATTCACAAGGAAGCTAACATATTTATTATACTACTGAGTTGATCATCGTTAAAAAGGGAACATGTTCTTTTTTCCATGATCGAGGGCAAGCTACTACGACATATGACATGAAGAGCTTTGTTTTTGTACTAGCAAGATTTGTAGTGATATTTGGCATAAATACCACGAGTGATATTTCGAAATTTTTAGACGTAATTTTAAATTTGAGACAATTTTGAAATATCACGAGGTGTATTTATGCCAAATATCACGTACAAATCATGCTGTTATTTGTTTATACTACTACCTGCAAAAGGTTTGTAATTTTCACATGTAGGTATTTCAAATTAAGCTGAAATACCACTGCTCTAAGCCAATCAATTTGCAGTAATTTTTTTATGTAGTAGTGTAAGGCGTCTAATCTGTCGATTTCCAGGGTCTACCTCGGTGTAAGAACCTGTGAACTTTTTCTTTGTTTCGCACCTTTTGTTTTTCTGTGTTCTATTGCGTTGACTTCTTTGTTTCCTCCGTTTTACATCACTTGTGCGTTTAACAGGTTCTTACACCGAGGATGAGCCGATTTCCATTTATGGAAATCAAAAAGCAACCTTGAACTGTAGACCATAACAAATAAATATATGGCAGCACTCCTTCATACTTTATCTATCAATAGTTGGCACTACAGCTGCCCCCGCTCTGTATGTATCGTGGTCGGTCAATAGTCTTCTTGTTTGTGTAGCGCTTTAAAAAACATAGATTCATAATTGGATATTTTCACACATATTGCATACATAGATAAGAACACAAAACAAAAAGTTTCATGCAGTGATTCAGTTCGATTTTAAGCCAGCTCAGATCAAACCATTCTCAGTTTCGAGAATACTTTATTCTAAAATATAAGCAAAGATTTGATTAGAAGTTGTAATTCTTCACTATTTCTCTTTTACTTTTAATTTAAAATGTTTGATCACATTGCTCTTGGGCGTTCTAGTCATTTAACTTTTAAGACAATACGTTAATGAGAATTCGATGAAGAGAATTGTTTCATTATGATGGAAAGATATCTGTTGAAGAGCAGTATTCACCATTTTGCATTCCGCAAGAGATACTGAAAGCAAAGTTTATGCAACAATATTAGGAGGGGGCAGACAGACAAGGTGTGTTAGGGGATGCAAAAATAACAAATACTTGTGGTTATATAAATGTCACTTAAGATCTGAACAAGTTGAGTAATTCATAAGTTTTTTGGTAAGTCTTTCTTACATGTAGCTGAACCATACATTTATAACAAATATGGAAACCTTGGAGGTTTAGCTCTGTGGATTTGACCTTAGAGTGGAAATCAAAGTTTTATTGTAAGATGAGACAAAATATTTTATTTCCTCAAATAAAAGCCATCCCTCTATTAACCACCTCCCTCAAATAAGAAATATTTTCTAGTAATAGTTGACAATACAGCTCCACCCCCTCTGTATATTGTCGGTCAATAGTATTCCTGGTCATTGTGTAGCTCTTTGAAATATACCAATTCATGATCAAAGATTTTCACACATATTCTATACAGAAGGTGAGAGTAAAAACAGGAAACGAAAGGTTCCATGCTTTGTTTCAGTTTGATTTACACAACTATGATCTAAAAGCATTCTCTGGTTTGAGAATAGTTTATTTTAAACCATTACAAAAGATTTAATTATTAGAAGTTAAAGTTTTACAAACAGTTCATTTTATTTTCCTGAAATTAAGCCTTAGAAATTAAAAGGTTTGATCAATAATTGCTCACAGATGTCCTTCAAGGGATTAAGTATTAGAAATGGCTAGAACATGCCAAAGAGATAGAGAAAGAGATCAAAGATCTGTGAACTTGTGTCTGGCAAACTATCCAAGTGTTTATATACACAGTCATACACACCTTATAACCTCATCTCCGCTTAACGATGTAACATTTCCCAAGCATTCGTTATATAGAGGTGTTCGATATAGCAAACCCTCCACTTAACTAACACATTTCCCCAGTCCCTTTGCATGTTAAATCGAGGTTCCACAATGTACTTAAATACTTCGATCACTAAAACTCCTTTTAAAGTATATCATACAGCAGAGAAGTTGATAACGGATTTGTTGTTGTTCTTGTTGCAGGAAGACGGAAAGTGATTAATGAAAGAAGATCATTAAGAAAAATAAATATCAATCGTTTTTTTTAAAAAAATGGTGTATTCATTTGTAATAATAATAAAAAAAAAACTTTTGAACGTCGTTTCTCCTCAGAAAACAACTACTCGCACGTCCAAGCTCCTTACAGAGGCGTCTTCTCTATTTTCTAAACAACCATTTTTCGACTAGATTCTGTTTTTTAAGAGCAGGGGATTTTTAGATAAAACTTCAT